AGGCTGAACTTCTGTCAAGTCTGGTTCCACTTTTTTATTTCCTAATAAAACATGAGACAGGGATTAAAATGAGAGGGGAAAAAAAATAAAAGATTCCCCCTTCATACTTCTTGCCTGCGATCGTTCAGAATTCTGCTTCCCAAAAATAATTAGAAACTCTTGTTTCCCTCACTCCTGCCCAGCTACCTTACCACTTCCTCATCTGTTGCCTCTTCATCAGGTTCCTTGTCTCCTCCATCAGACCACTCATTTGGATCTGCCGGTGCAGAATTTTGGAGTAATGACTCGTTTTCATCTGGCAAACGCTTAGTTTTTTTGGTTCAGACTTATGTCTGGGATGAGCGATGTACCAGATGACAGATGCAATATGCGCACATCAGTCGACGCCTCTATCGCCCACCTTGCACTGACAATGCCACCCGGATATGCCTCGCTCCCTCATCGCAAATGGCAAAGTGCGGTAGAGCCCTTTATAAATATTTAGTTTTTGTTATGAGAATGATAAATTTTAAAAAGATGTGCACAATAAACTTTGAAAAGATTGGATGGTCAAATGCTTTTCGCTATAGAAGCATTCGAAATTTTCTCTATTCATAAGTCTTAAACTTTTCTTCTACAGCCAAACCGACGTATGATTGTTTAAGTCTCCCACTTTGGCGTGATGTTGGCTGGAGTCCTGAAAGACGCCAGTGAGCTACATGCTCCTACTGGTCAATACCATGAGCGCGAGGCTGACATGGTCATATTCTCGAGGGACTTCGCCTTTTCTTAACTCACAGTTAACCCCTAAACTCCCCCCCCCCCCCCCNCCCCCCCCCCCCATAGGGTGGAACTCATTTATTTAAATCGACTAAGTAAAACAAATGTTGCACAGTCTTCAAGGGTTCTATTACATAAAAAAAGAAAACGCAGTAGCCCAAAGGATTTTGAAAAAAAAAAAATTTAACTCGGCCCGCACATGATTCAGTCAACTTCTGACGCAGAATCAAAGAGACTTGCTATTAATCAAATTAAAGGTAATTCTTGAAGTCAAGTATCTCTGATTTTGTGACACTCAGTTGATCTTTGACAGTACACGCTAAAAAGATTTCACTTTGACAAGGAAACGCCTTCGGCTGAAAGTACAAACCTGCTACATATTACATACACACTTCCTTTTGATTCCTCAACAGCAGTTTCTGCTGAATAAAAAGGTAGAAAAGACATTTCACATTGTCACCAGTTTATGTACCCGATGACTTACTAAGATTGAAATAAAAATGGGAAACTTTTCCCACTAAACTCTTCAGAACTTCAGAACGACCACGAGGATCTAGAAACTTTCATGAGCACTGAGAGATAAGCCTAAATAGGTGGTGCATGGAAACATAAACAGGAGAACCCAATCGTCGGACTAGTTCGCTAGACCCTCTAGCAGGCACCGCTGGTGTTGCTGCTAACTGGAGTTGGAGGTCCTTATTCATTCTCTTCGTCCATGGTTAGGTTACGTCGAATTTCAATTGGTCGAGTACCATGTTGTCAAGGCACCAATATTTCAATTATTTATTTTTTACATGCTCAACCAACAGTGGAGGGTGTCAGAGGCAACGCTCGGGCTAGAACCCCCCAGCATTCAGATAGGTTGGTTCACCCGACCCCACCACACTTAGGATAGGTTTAGGTTACGTCCCATTTCAATTGGTCGAGTACCATGTTGCCAAGTCGCACCAATATTTAAATTATTTATTTTTTACATGCTCAACCAACAGTGGAGGGTGTCAGAGGCAGCGCTCAGGCTCGAACCCGCCAGAATTCAGAAAGGTTGGTTTACCCGACCCCACCACACTTCAGGATAGGATAGGTTCACGTTACGTTTCGACGTATCAATTCGCGGTGTTGCCAACCCGTGCCATTAATTTAAATGTTCAGTTATCTACACCATCAGGCAACATTGTAGGTATGCCGATTATCGAGTGAAGATGTTGCTAGATCGACCCTATAAATAAAATATTTATTTAATTTTTTACACCATCCGGCAACATGGTCAGACCAAGTTCCATTTGGACGTATTTATGCGAAAAGGCGCTAAACGCCATTTCCAAACTTCTCAGTAAAGCAAGTTTGACTAAAACAATTGGCGTTTCCGTACTAATGGACCGATTTTGGTTTACTTTATCTTGTTTCAAAGCTGAAGAGTTCCTCTAATTACGTACGTTGCCAAAATTAGGAAAAAATGCATATTAAGCGAGATATAGGGGATTTTGCACGTAGGTCCATTTGATTTAATGCGCTGACCCGGATTCCGAATTAAATCAAAAGGCGCTATCTCCACTTGATTGACGCGCGTGCGGCGAAGCTTGGTGGAAACTTGGTGAAATTTAGTACCGGTGGGTTTTTTCGGACGGGAAACTCGAATTTCGGGTCAAATTTTGAAAATTCAGAAATCCAAGATGGCGGACATGGCCTAAAATGCTATCTCGACTCCTATCCAGCCGATCTTGTGAAACTTGGTATCAGGGGGTATTTTCGGACGGGAAACTCGAATTTCGGGTCAAATTTTGAAAATTCAGAAATCCAAGATGGCGGACTGGCCTAAAATGCTATCTCGGCCCCTGTCCAGCCGATCTTGGTGAAACTTGGCATCGGGGAGTATTTTCGGACGGGAAACTCGAATTTCGGGTCAAATTTTGAAAATTCAGAAATCCAAGATGGCGGATGTGGCTTAAAATGATATCTATTTCTTAAACAAACGCACCACACGTCTAGAATGGCCGCCAATGAACCTGCGTAAAGCGCACGGGCCGGGTTGTGAAGGCCGGAGGTGGTGGGAGCCCAAATATACCTACCTAACCTCAATCTGCTTTCCCGCTGCATCTTGCCAATGTGGATGAGATGTGGAAATTTCCACGTTTGTAAACTTTAAATATATGGCACTCTACACGGAGAAAAAAACTCGTGCGTGGGACCCGAAGTTTGGGTCATATGGATCTCTGAAGTTTTCGGATTGGGCATCTGAACACTTTGGGTCTAGCTGTCGAGGTTCGGATCACACATCTGAAACTTCAGTTCTTACGTCTGAAGTCTTCAGGTGTGAGAACCGAAATTTTCGGATGTGAAAACCGAAGTACTTTAGATGTAAGAACTGAAGTTTCAGATGCGTGATCAAAACCTCAGCAGCTGGACCGAAAGTGTTCAGATGCTCAATCCGAAAACTTCACAGATCCATATGACCTAAACTTCGGGTCCCACGCACGAAGTTTTTTTCTCCGTGTACGTTCACAATACACCGCCTCGTCGAGGTGCGTGGTTTACCTAGCAGCGTCGGATCGTGAATTCCCTTCATGTGCTGATTACCTATGTTAAAATTTTCGTACCTAAATAAAACAGTTTCTGTTGTCATTTTGAGCCCCTAATACCGAACTTCACACAAACGATTCAGGCATTGAGCTATTGTTGAAGGTCACATCCGCCATATTGGAGTTTAAAATTTTAACAATGAGGTTATTCAGTAATTTTTAATTTTTGCATTTTTTTGGAGGATTGAGTACGCACAGTTCGCTGGAATTTTCTCCGATTTTTTGAAACATTATTAACCCACGGAAAACAAGTTCGAAGTTGCGTATTCTGAGCTCCCATTTAAACTCGCGTCTCCGAGGAAGTCAAGATGGGGCCTGACGAACCCCTAGGTGACGGTCACGCTTTTGACCACGTAATCCTTCCAGCGCGCTCTTAATACTCATGAATTTCTAAATACTGTTCCGATTCCAATAAAGTACCTAACAGTGATTTTAATGAAAATTAAGTGATTCCGATGGGTTCGTTAATTTGTTCGCTCGTTAAAAGCCCCTTGTCCATGTCAGTGCACACTGACATTGATCGAGCCAGAGGGAACGCACGGTCGATATGTAACCGTCACTCAGGGGACGACATCTGGGATTTTTTGGCGATGCGCGTTTAAATAGGAGATAACATTTTAGGCCACATCCGCCATCTTGAATTTATGAAATTTTAAAATTTGACCCGAAATTCAAGTTTCCCGTCCGAAAATATCCCCTGATACCAAGTTTCACCAAGATCGGCTGGACAGGAGCCGAGATAGCATTTTAGGTCATGTCCGCCATCTTGGATTTCTGAATTTTCAAAATTTGACCCGAAATTCGAATTTCCCGTCCGAAAATACCGCCTGATACCAAGTTTCACCAAGATCGGCTGGATAGGGGCCGAGATAGCATTTTAGGCCATGTCCGCCATCTTGGATTTCTGAATTTTCAAAATTTGACCCGAAATTCGAGTCTTCCGTCCAAAAATACCCCCCGGTACAAAATTTCACCAAGTTTCCACCAAGCTTCGCCGCGCGCGCGTCAATCAAGTGGAGATAGCGCCTTTTGATTTAATTCGGAATCCGGGTTAGCGCATTAAATCAGGGGAATTACATATAGTTCATTTTGATTTTATTCGTAATCGCTGATTCCCTGTTATGCGATTTTTCAGGGGCTGATTCCAGGGGATGAAATTAGTATTTTGGGGGCATATTTACGTGTGAGAGCAGCCTATTACATGGAGAATACAGATCCGTTAAAAACTGAAATTTGGCGCTTAGTTCCCTTTCGTATAAATACGTCCATTTGTCGATTTGCGACATTGCCAGTTCAAAACAAAAATTAATTTTTCATTTTTCTGCACCATATGGCAATGCTGTAAAATGCAATGTTGCCAGGTCGAACCATACATTTGATTATTTATACTATGCATCATCTAACAACAGCCGTTTTCAAGTCCTCATTTGCACCCTACTTTCGAACAAGAATAAATCCTTAAGACATAAAAAAAAAAAACTGGTAGGTTTTCTTTAAAATAATAGAATACCAGCAGAGGCTTTAGCCGCGCAGGCTGCGCTGCACTCATGTGATAAGTTTTCTTAATGTTAATATTCCTATTCTGATGATCAAATTTATGCTCCAGTCAAAAAATAACAATCCATAATTAACAGTAGGTACAATTAATTTGAAATTTTTACACACCCAAGCTAGTTTGCTGAGGATATGGTGACGGTTCTGGTGAAGTCATAGTGGACTGCTGCTGTTGTTCTGCATTTGATGACGGTACAATATTAGCCGAAGATTCGACCTTGCGTGCAGAATCTAAACTCCTGTTACCGTTTGATTGGTCTGATGAACCAGTTAGACTGCTGGATGCATTCTGATGCGACTGTTGTTGGTGCTGCTGCTGTTGATGTTGTTGTTGTTGTTGTTGTTGTGTCGTGATAGCTACATATCCGTTTTCTTGAGGCAACCCAGGTCCCCATTGTCCATTTGACTGAGTGCTTGTTGGCATGCCTTTTTCCACACTGTCTTTGTTGTACAGCACGTATGGTGCACCTGTGTCTGTAAAGTAGGGCACAAATTTAATCCTACGACCTACCTTCCTACCTACCTACCTTCCTACGAGTTTCAATGTAACGAAAAATATGGGTTTCTGCTCAGTTTTAATTTCAACTGTACGTGATAATGCCTATCCTTTGCATCAGCTTGAAAAAAACTTGATTAAGTAGTGAAAATCAGTTCAGAGTCTTTCAGAAAAGAAAAAAAAAAAATATGTGCAACAAACTTCTAGGTTACAGTTAGTCTCTGTTGAAAAATGCACAAGATTTGAAGGTCAAACCAAGTTTCACATGCATAAAATAAATACATGTCTTAAAAGTTGTCCAAACATGGTCCTTAAGACTCATTATTATTTGTTAAAGACCATTTTGAAACTAACACTTGAAAAACATGAGTGGAACTGCTTTCAGTATAGTTCCAAGGAGGATTACAGAGGTAAAAAAAAAAATCATAAAAATGGTGACCTTATATTCGAAAAAATCTGCTGAATGTGACTTTCTGTTCAATTTTCACAACATACAAATTAGTCCGGGAGCACATGTTCATTTTTGGGGTCCCGTGGGACCGTTAATGATACAAGTTGGCGAGATGGCTTGATCTCTTCGTCTTGATGTCCTGAAACAGAATTTCGATGCTGCCAGGCTCAATTTTTCCCGAAACACCCTTAAATTCAAGATGGCACCCAAAATGGCCGCGACGGGGGTGAAGTGGGTGAGAGTGACTCCCATGGTCGACATGTATGTCGATCCCTATG